AGTACTCCAACTGTGGCCTGACCAAAGTCGCATAGAGGGGGAGTATCACTTCTCTGGACAGGCTTGAGATGCACCTTTGGATGCATGACAAGGTATGGCTGGCCTTGCTGGCTGCGGTCTGGCATTGGTGGCCCATGTTCATCTTGGAGTCAATAATGACTGCAAGATCCCTTTCCGCCTCTGTGCCTTCAAGAGGGGAACTCCCCAGCCTGCATGTATGCTGTGGATTCCTTCTCCCAAGGTGCAGCACCCTGCATTTGTCTACGTTGAACCCCATCCTATTCTCATCTGCCCACTTTTGTCGTCTGTCTAAATCTAGTTGCAGCCTCTCTCTCCCTTCAAGTGTGTCCACCTCGCCCCACATCTTAGTGTCATCAGCAAATTTGGACAGCGTGCTTTCCACCCCCTCATCCAAGTCACTGATGAAGATGTTAAACAGTGCGGGCCCGAGGACTGAGCCCTGGGGTACCCCACTGCTCACATCTCGCCAGTTTGAGTACAACCTGTCCACCACTACTCTCTGGGTGCACCCCATCAGCCAATTTTTCACCCATCCAACTGAGCAGACATCAATGCCGCAGTGTTCTAAACTGTGTTCTAAACACAGTGTCAGTGTTCTAAACTGAACAGGCCCAGCCTCTTAGGGTTGTTCCTCCCTACTGCTGAGTGATCATCCCTGCTGCCCTTCTTTGTACCTTCTGGTGTTTGTTTGGGCTCAGGGGCTGGTGTCACTCCCTCTGTGGAATCAAATCTCGGTATGTTGTCAGGGTCAACATCTTGCTGGCAGGGGGTTGGCTTGTACAGGGAGCTTGCTGGGGTCCCTCAGGGCAGCTCTACTGCTGTTCACGTGCCACGCCAGTGCCAAATCCTCACCCACGGCACAATTACTACTAGTTTGGGAAGAACAATCCCTGCCCACCGTCTCCTATATCAGGAAGATAAGATTGCTTGATGCAATTGTGCTAGACAGACAGCCACACTCAGACATCACTGCACCATTTTCCCAGCCTGCAGACATGCCTTTCTCTATGAAAAGCAAAAGATGAAACCTGACAGGAGTTCCCATGCCCCATGGAACAGGGCTGCCATGATAGGCTTGTTCTCCCTGGGCTGAGGTTGTGGAGGATCCTTCCAGGACCCAGGAGACAGGACCCAGGGCCTTTGGGCCCTGCCACACATTCAAATGACAGCTGATAGAAACCAGCTCTAGAGCTGTTAGACATCTTCAAGCACTAATTTCATAGCTGGTTGGCTCTTTTTAGAGCTGGATAGTCATGTTTATCATGTGTTAATTACTCTGCATGTGATCAGCCTAAATATATTGCTCAAATAACCAGTGAATTGCATATGTGTAATATGTAGTAGGGGCCTTTAAGTCAGAGAGCATGGTAAGGCAGAGAGGATGGGGTGTCTTGCTAGGTCCCTTCATCATTCATGCTGCAGGAAAGTTAATTGGGCAAGTCAGTCCACCTCTGACTGACCTTTGGGTGGGCACTAAATGCAAATGAAAACAGACCATAACAAACACGCAGCTCCAGATCACAGGCAGAATTAAAAAGTTCATTCAATGCTACAATAGCCACAACTACAACTTCAGTCATTTCATTATTTGATCAGGACATTGGACAATCATCTACTTGTATTAGATTTTAAAGGAGACAATCAGGGTCTAGTGACTTATCAAGTACATGAATGGGAGCTGGGCTTCAGGCTTCCTAGCAGGGGCTGTTCCTGCCTTTCCTTCCCCTCCCAAGAGAATCAAAATTGGCTTTGCTGCCCTGGGGTCTCCCTTTGTCCCATTTCCCCCAAGGTCCTTCAGTCACAGATTCCTTTGCATCCTGCTCCTTTTAATGAGAGGCAGGTGAGGTTCCTTCCTGGGGGGAGCAGTAAGAGCATCAAGTAGAACTGGCACATTTGAAGGCCTGGGCAATAACTCCACAGTGGATTTCATTGGACTCTCTCACCTCTCTGATGTGTTTGGCTTGGTAGGAAAAGCAGTGCCCGACTTGCAGGCCTCATTGCCTGGCACAGGGTAGGTGGGGAGTTAAATTCAGAGATAAGGCAAGGTAGATTCCAAATGTCTCCTGTGTCATTCTCCAGATCTGGGGTGGAGACTGGAGGAGGGGGGATGGAGAAAGGCAACAGGTGCCCAGAACCCTTCCTTTGTCCTTCCTGATAACTGTCCTGTCCTTGCTGAGTATCCACTGCCATACTGCAGCTGGGTCCTTGGGTAACATCCTCTGGAGTAGCTCAGGGTCACCTCCTGACCCAGCAAACACTGCTGTAGCTACTGACCCCAGAGACTATGAGTGTTCTGCTCCCCCTCTTACCATGGGGCAGGCCTCATTTTTCCTGCCCCTTCCTAGGCTGTTCTGCCCAGGGAAGGAACAGGTTAACACGCCTCCTGGACACAGGGTAGTTGGGAGCACATGCAGCAAGTGGTGATGGTGGATGAGGGACCCAAAGGAATGCAATCAGGGCTGCCCCCCTCTGGAGAGATGCCTTGGGCACAGTGAAAGCTCCAAAACCAGGGCTGCTTGCAGGGATAGGCAGCCACAAGTGGGAAGCCACAATGAGGAAATTGTTTGGCACCAGCCCATGCTCCCATCCCTCCCTCTGCACTGCTTCCAGGGCTCAGCTCACTGAGGCAGCTCCTGTTCTCATCCAGGCCCAGATCTCCTCTGTTGCCTGATTCGGTTTATTGTTAATGACAGCAATCTTCCCCTATCCTCTACCTGGTTGTTCCAGCTAGACACAAGCCTGGCCCAGCCAAGCCCAGCCCTGGTCCCATCACACCCTGAAGCCTCCTGCCCTCAGATCAGCCAGCCTGCTGCTGTGGATCCCATGCTGTCACTCAACACCCCCACTACAATCCTCCCCTCCCCCCATCACAACACCCCCACCACCTCTATACACCCTATCCCCCTCCCTGGCTTGCAATCCCCAGCACAGCACCCCAGGAATGGGCAGCCAGTCAGTGCCCCTCTCTCTGCAGCACACATGCCCCAAACCTCTTCTCCCCTCTCTGTGACTCCCTTTTGCCATGGCCCTGGGGATGTGGACAACCCAGTGCCTGGTGAATGAGGAGGTGGGGGATTTCCCAAACCTCCCCAACATGGTACAGGTGGTGGGGAGCTAGTTGAGGCAAAACCTGGCAGAAGCTGCCCTGCATCAATACCAATGGTCTGGCATGTGGGCTCTTTTGCGCTTGGTGAAATCTGAGCTAGGCCCAAAGCACTTCTCACATTCAAGATTGTGGTAAAAGCTCCTCCTCTCCAGCGTGCATGCCCTGGTGCACGCGGAGGTAGGATGGGCGGGTGAAACGCTTGCCACACTGCCCACAACGGTATGGCTTCTCCCCGGTGTGGACACGCTGGTGAGACTGGAGGTTGGATGGGCGGGTGAAGCTCTTCCCACACTCTGTGCAGTGATAAGGTTTCTCCCCCGTGTGCACACGCAGGTGGACACGAAGCAGGTCAGGGCGGGTGAAGCTTTTCTCACATTCAGCACAACCATATGGCTTCTCCCCGGTGTGCACGCGCCGATGCACACGGAGGTGAGACGAGCTGTTGAAGCTCTTCCCACACTCTGGGCAGCGATGGGGCTTCTCCCCGGTGTGCAGGCGCCGGTGCACTCGTAGGTGGGATGGGCTATTGAAGCTCTTTCCACACTCCGTACAGTGTGGTTTCTCCCCACTGTGGACATGCTGGTGCTGGATGAGAGCAGAGCTCTGCCGGAAGCTCTTCCCACACTGGTCACAGCGGTAGGGCTTCTCTCCGGTGTGGATGCGCTGGTGGACTTGCAAGGGGGAGGCTTGGTTAAAACTCTTTCCACAGTGGCTGCAGTGGTATGGCTTCTCCCCAGTGTGGATGCGCCGGTGGACTCGGAGTTGGGATGGAGAGGCAAAGCTCTTCCCACAGTCCCCGCAGAGGTGGGGGCGCTCCCCTGAATGCGTTCTCTGGTGCTCC